CGAAGACTTTCGACATGAAAACTTATTTATCTTTTAACGTGGTACTGTGTATTCAAATGGGTTTTACTAGTTTACTCAACTGGTATGTCAGATTCTGTTGCGCTAAGGAAAGAAAAAGGTNATGTCCTTGCCTGGGCTCGAACCAGGGACCTTCTGTGTGTTAGACAGATGTGATAACCACTACACTACAAGGACGTTGAGTAATGTGCTAACTTAGTGGATGGTTGACAACTGAGGCGAATGAACAGTCACCCGTGATAAAGCACGCTCAAGTAGAGGCTACAAAAGATGGCTCGAGAACTTTATTGAATGCAGTCTGCCTAAATATTAATAATAACAATGCAACGTGGGCTATAAAAGCCACATTTGAAAACGTCATTCTTTGTAATGAACTGATAAACTTATTAATGTATTAATATTGAGACGACTGCGTAATTCTATCACTTTGCTGAGGAGCTTCAAAACTTCCACGTTAGAAGTCAAAGCTCGATTGAAAATAGTTCTTTTAGTTTAGTTTAGTTTAGTTAGTTCTTTTATTTACATTTGAAGCTGAGAACTTTAACAGAAGAGATTGGAACGTTATGCGTAATAAGCTTAGTTAAAAACAGCGCTGTCGTTAGCGAATGAAACGTGAATCGATCGCAAAGGTTTGCTAAACGCGGTTTACTGTCCGTTGTTTTAAGATGTGAAAAGGTTTTATTTTATGTCTTGGAAGCTCTCAGAACTCTCTACTCGCTAATGAGCGCAATTTGACAAAGGGCCCTTAAAGCATTAAGGCTTTTATCAAAGCTATACGCGATGCTTTTGTAACTGCAACAAGGCATCGCTTGCTCAGTCGGTTAGAAACATCGGCGTTTCCCTTCTTACAGGAGAGAAGCGTATTAAAGCTCGAACAGTTTAAAGTTCTTGCTTTATTTCGCTTCCCATCGTTGAAGTTGAAATGTAAGCACTGCTTGACCATGAAGTATGCCGTATACGGCAATTTCCTTAATTCTCAGGAATGAAAAACATTAATAGACCTTTGATGGTCATTGACCACCGCCATGGAGTCAAAGGCAGTGGTGCGCTGCAAATACTCTCTCAACATTAGCGAATAGCGCCAGTGAGAAATTTAATTTTCGCCACGTAACCGATGAAACCAGAGAAGAGCGGTCAGCTGCTACACTTATTTACTCTAAACATTACTAAAGCTAAAACCCATACATTGTGAGCGTTTAACAATCGCTAGAAAATATTTGAAGCATAGTTGTGGAGACTGCGTAACTTTTCATATCTCTCCCATTCTTAAACAACAAACAGTAGCAAAATGCTAACAAATGAGAAACTATTGCAATTCTGTTTCGCCTAAACCTTTCCGACGCTCTGACGAGGAAACAAAGCCGCTTTGTAAAACTTCTTCAGTTATCTATGACGATAAGGAAGTTTTCTCCGGTCAGCTATGGGACAGCCGCAAAAGGCAACTTCAACTTTTTGCTGTATCACGCATTGGAAGCGACCAATCACGATTGCGCATCATGCAGGAAATAAGCAATTTAGAAGTACAACGACCTGGAGCCAGTCGACCCGATAGACCACCCTTAAGGTCACCAAGACTAAATGGAAAACTTTACCCCATCCCCATGTGCTCTTTGTTGTCTTCCTTAGAAGAAGAAGAAGAAGAAATAAAGTACAGTAAGACTACAGGCTACGCAAATACGACTTCTACGCTGAAGAATGTAAAAAGCTAAAAAGTAAAGTAGATGACGTAAGTTCATTCAGCAGCTGAAGAAGCGCATCTATAGACCTACAGTAAGCTGTAGCAGTAAAGAAATTTGATTAAAACTACATTAGTTGTTCGCTTGTGCTTTTTGGATTATTATTAAATCTGTGGCCTATTTGCTTTGCAATGGAGTACAGGTGCGATAGGAGGAGGCGCCAATGGAGCACATTTGACCGACGGAACATGTGACCAATCAATCATAAATAAACTTTTCGACTCCGCGAAGGAGGGGCTGCTCTTTCACCAACAGAGAACAGTAGCGCGCTAACGCACTTGTGCACAGCTGCTGCCAATCTGTTCACCCATCAAACTAACTTGTCATAGCACTGCTAACTGCCATTCCGACTTAGGTTACGTTGTCATCGTCTTTCTCCGTATCCGGTTACAATGCCACGTAAGCGGATATGCATGCAAATAGCTTCGCCGTACTTCGATCAGCGTCAAACGGTGTCTCGAGTGTCCGCCGGATCAAATTTCGCTCAATTCGAAAAGCTTTGCCCGTTTTCCTCAATCCAATGAAAACTTGTCGCCTCGTCGAGTCGATCAGCCCAACGACCACCACCACAGCGTTGTCCTTTTGACATTTGCCAAACGATTTCCCATCGTCGTACCTTTTGGCCTCTCTCTCTGTTCGGCAAGCAAACACGGAGAATATGGCCAAAACAGTGACCAAACAATTGACACAATAGACTTAGTCATTGAGGAGCTCCGCTGGTCGAACGAACGGTCGTCCGTATGCTGCTGACCAGCCGTGTTGACATTCTTGTTGCAACTACTACAGCGTACGCTACCAAGTCAACGCATCTCGCATAGCAGATGCGACAATGAATACCGTATCCGGTTGCGAAATGCTTAGCGGCAGTAGCGCAGCTTCGGCATCAACTTCCTCCTTTGGCTTTACACAGGTGAATCATTTTTTTATCATATACCATTTATCAAACATTTGTAAGGCAATAAGTGACGCCTACAAACCGTCTCTAATTAAATTCCATAACAGGAACTTCTTGCTGACGTAGAGCTCAACTATTATGCGCATCGCCTGGCCAACAGAGAATGAATTCTTTAGCTATCTCTGAAATTTGCATGCATATACTATATAATATATTAATCATATGCTGACCAGCAGATCTTCCCAAGCTTAGGACGTTAAGCCTGTACAATCCGACTCATTATTACCTGCTCAGCGTGGGCACACATCCATAGGTTCTACTGAAAAATCACCTCTAACGGTTGCGTTCATTAAAGGAACAAGTCGCCTGCGTATGCGAGGTACTCCAACAGTCGGGCAATATACAAAGGCTGGCGCGGTTTCTATGGTCGCTTCCAATGTGCGAAGAATTGCACAAAAACGAGACGGTCCTACGAGCCAAAGCGTTGGTCGCCTTCCATAATGGCAATTTTAAGGAGTTGTACCACATATTGGAAACTAATCAGTTCGCCGTGGAAAACCACGCAAAGTTGCAAACGCTTTGGCTGAAGGCTCACTACATTGAGGCGGAAAAGTTACGAGGTCGACCGCTTGGCGCCGTTGGCAAGTATCGCGTAAGGAGGAAGTTCCCGCTGCCTAGAACAATTTGGGACGGTGAGGAGACGAGCTATTGCTTCAAGGAAAAATCCAGAGGCATCCTTCGGGATTGGTACTCGCACAATCCCTATCCGAGTCCTCGAGAAAAGCGGGAACTTGCCGAAGCTACCGGGCTCACCACCACTCAAGTAAGCAACTGGTTTAAAAATCGTAGACAGCGAGACAGAGCGGCAGAGGCAAAGGACAGGTAAGCATAGCATTGACGCTGATAGAGCTGCATTGTTGGAATTGCAGAAGCGATTCCGGCGAGGTTAACCGACCGCAACAAATGGAAAAGTTTTCAAAAATGGAAATGAGCCCCGAGGAATCGGACGCGGAGCGAAAATCCCTAGCCGCACCCAGTTGCATGGGCAACATCCCGTTGGAATCCCATCAAGCTGTAAAGGCTGAAGCTCTTATGAATACTTATGGACCCCTTGGAACCACCAGCGCCTCCGTGCATGGCTTTCATCCATTGCCTGTTGGTTGTTTCAACGCGTTTGACGTCGACAAGCGATTCCTGCCAACCGCGGATGGTTCCTCTCAACCCAACATATCCATGGAATCGTTTGTCAACTATCACGAACTTTGATTAGCGTATTTTCCGGTTCGGTCATTTGAGCTTTTACCAATATACCTCCCTGCGCATAAATGCCTTTCTTTACATATAACATCTTGATTACAATACAGTTGCTCACGGTGGGATACAACTGCCTATGGCTTCATTGAGACAGCTGCATACCTTAACAGCTGACGACTATTT